ATTTGTCCTCAAACTCACGGCAAAGCTCCAAAGCTATAGCCCTTGTACCTTCAGCACTGCTAACGAGTTGTTCACCAAGCCTTGCTAATTCGTCCTGCACTATTTGAGACTTACCCTGGAGTCTGTAGATGTAAGAAAGGAATTTGAGTGTTCAGGTTTTTCATAAGAATCGTGTCTCTGAATAATCATCCAGAAAACTAAAACAAAAGACAGCAATCGATAATTGGAGACTAAGAAACATATCGGCTTAACAAAGGATGAGCATCAACTAGTGACCTTGCAAACGAGAGATCTTATGTTCAGAACTCAGTAATGATGGCGGACAAAACTGGTACATATCCAATCTCAGATGACTATTTTCTTTCGTGCAAACTATATTGAAGATTCTGCCATTCGATTTATTCCAATTCTTTAATCATCGTTCCTTTCCATTGCAAATTCAGCATAACAGTTTATTTTATAGACGTAGGTAGATTTTTTTCTATTAAATCCGTTAAAGATACTAATCTTGTTTTCCTTTCGCGAAACTAAGCTACCACCTGCTCCCTATATGCTGCTTGAAAAAGACACAACTACATATCCCGAGAAGTGTGCTAATGAGGAAGGGAGCTTCAAATTCTAGGTAACTAAGCCTAAAGATTGAGAAAATTGTAAGTCTTCCTAAACTATAAGTATAGAAAATAGGCAACACACACAATCCATTCAGAATTTGCAAATATAACATATTAGAGCAAACATATGGAGAGAGGAAATACCCAGACAAGATATTTGGTAGCCTGAGCTTCATTCTGCTACGAATCTGGCTAGCAAGGGTGTCCACCAGGGCAATTCTGCCAAGTTTACTTTGTGGAGCACCAGTCAAAATAGATTTAAGACTTTCACTCTCAGCACGCCAAGCAGTTTCTAAAGAGTTCTCACTGCCTCCAGACTGCGCTGATGCAATTGAGACAGATTGACCAATAAGTGCAACCCATGGAATATCAGTTGTTTTTGGAGGTCCCTGGTTTGAAAGAAGAGCCTGAACTGCAGCCAGGGCTTTTGGGTTCTCTGCTGCCTGGTCAATTTTGCTTATAATTCCTACAGTCCTAGTGCCTATAAACAGGGAAAGATGTCAATATTTTTGTATTGTATACAAGAAAAATAAATCCAATGCTTTAATCCAGTGATAGTAAGGTGACCAGGTAACTGGGAAATCTAATTAAGGGTCTCTATAGTGAAAGTGTTAGTGTACTCACTGTCTGGATCATACTCCTTTGCGGTTTTCAGGGCTCGAGATGACGAAATTTCAGATGCCTGGCTAGCAGGTACAATAACCAGCAGTATGGCATCATTGTGCTGTGTATGTTCACCAATCTTGCCAAGAGAGTAAAGAAACAAATTACAAGATGACAAGGAAAAGCCCATTCAGCCAGAAAATCTAATATACAAATACTGAAAATCTCCATGGTTAACAGCTAGATTAGGGGCATGACAAAGGCATCATACAGTTCATTGTCTTACAAAGGCATCATAAAGTCCATTTTCTTACCATTGAATCATCCACAATCCTCTGGTCCAGTCCAGGCAAATCAATCAGTTTAAGAGGTGGAGCTGCAATTTAAAGGGCGCAAATAAGAAATATGTCGTGATTGTTACAGGTAACTGTAAGAAAACAATTGATATGTGATTATTCATATTAAGTTTGTGCTTCATTTAGATATGATCTAATACTCAACTTAGCTTCAGATTCTTAGAAAAAAAAAATGAAGCTACTAATGTGCACTACGCTTAGTTAGTGGTGGCAAGACATTACAGCTGAACCTTTCACTGATGTCATGGACATATTCAGATACCCAACTTACAATTGATTATATGGATGTTAAAATGACCAATAAATAGCACTTCACAATTATGACTGTGCAAGTAACAAAGGCCTTACCTGTGCTTGTGCGAAGTTTTAAATAAATTTCGTCTCGACCCCTCCCTGTGGCTCCTTTGCTAAGCCGATCCTGCAGAGAGTGTCTAAGGGCACCTATCATAGACCCAATGCAAAACAAACGGAAAAGGTTACAAAAAATATTTCTCTAATGCATTGTATCTTACATGCAGAAAAAGCTTCCCAAATCATTGCCAAATTACATATGTGCACACAGGGAACCTTACTTGCAGAAACTTGTTGAGATTTACTGTCAATTTGCAAGATTATCGCCTTGCTGCTCAGAGATTCCTCCCTACTCAGGTCAATGATTATAGGAGCCCGTGTAGCACCATTCTCACCAGTCGGCTGCCCATAGTACATTGTAGCAAACGGATACAACAGAAGGTGATAAACTTTAAATAATGTATCACCCAATAGTGATGTAAACAAACTCCCAAACACTCAATATACAACTTACCAGAACTGGATGTCCAATTAGGCTATTCAAAACTGCAGACTTCCCAGCTCCCTGTTCCAGCAAGCAAATTGAGATAGCGTAGGTATAACATTAGAAAATACATGTTCCAAATACATGCGCAGAACAATCTATTCAACCATTTTCCAATAGAGAAGTGTTTTACGCAAGAGAAAGTTCTATTGATAAACAAATTCGCACAGTTGGGAAGAACTCGATCTGACAAGCAAAGGAAATACGTTTTTTCTTTCTGGAATACACTTTCTGCGGATTATCTCTGCCTGGTTTTAATTGAGTTCTTATAATTTCAAATATCAGACACATCAATCTTATCTCCTAAAACAATACCTCCCAGGTTTTAGTCTCACAGAATCAAACAATTCCTTATATAGAGAAACTCAACAAAACAAGCTACGAACGAAGAATGCATTCCTACCAAACTCCTAAGCAACCTCATCGAGATCCACAAGATCCACGATATGGAATTCATCATCTACACTCGATCACAGCATAAAACTGACACACAAATGTCCCTACAACCACGTCGAGGAGAACAAAAAGGAGCAAGAGGAAACCCACCACATTCCCTAGGGCAACGACGTTGAGAAAAGTGGTCGGTCGTCTAGAAGAAGAGCTCTCCTCTGGATCTTCGTCAGCGAGCAGCGCCGCCGCTTGTCTCATCGAATCCGAAAGCTGAGACAACTCATCGATCGCCTCCATCGTGACTAGCGCCGAATCAAGGTCGAAAAATCGGATTCCAAAAGTACGAGATCTGGACGAAGAAAGGGAGCCACTAGATCCGAGGAGAACCGATATCGATAAGCGATGGATTTTCCGGCGATATGTAATTGACCGGAATTTCGAATTCGGTCGCGACGGTGCTAAGCTAAGATTCGTTTGGGTGTGTGTTTCTTCGTCGGGAGAGAGATTGAGCGTAGACGAGTCATATAACACCGAAACACGTAATAATTAATTAACAAAGATTTTTCAAATTTCAACAATAAGCTGATTTTTTACAAATGTGTAATAAGTAATTTAACCGAAAGTTTTTGACTTATCATCCAAATTCAAAAACAAACTTCTAAAAAAACTAATCTCTCCATTTCACAAAGAGTATCGTTCACACAAATTAAGAAATAAGATAAAATGTCTCTTATACCCTTATTAATTTGCAGAAAATAACTATTGGAATTATATTTATAACTAATTTTCTGAATTTATTTTTGAGGTTAAAAATGATATTTTATGTCAAAATTTACATTGGAATTCTAAAACGATATTCTTTTTGAAACAAAAAAAAAATGTCAGAACGACACTTTTTGTGAAACGGAGAAAATAACATTTAGTGATGTATTTATTGAGGATGCCAAAATGATAATTTTAGAACTTCGTTAAAAAGGTAATTTAGAATAACCTATATTTTAATAGAGTAAGTTTTGCAGATTAATAAATGCAAAGGTTATGGAATATCTTAATAGTATTAAGATCTTGGGATTGCCGAACCATGAATTGAAATTGAAAATAGGAAATTTATGCAATGGAACAAGACTTTTGGTAACACAGTTGGCCAAACATATTATTCAAGCTAGCCACATAAATGGAGAATATATTGGTCAAAAGGTCTTGATCCCACGAATGTTTGTTTCCTCCATAGAGACAAGTTTTCCTTTTAGAATGAGGCGTAGATAATTTCCGGTAACTATCGCCTATTCAATGATTATCAATAAAAGTCAAGGACAGACTTTACAAAAGGTTGGCCTATATTTACCAAAACCAGTATTTTCCCATGGACAACTTTATGTGGCTATATCACGTGTTATTTCAAAAGCTGGTTTGAAGATTCTGATAGCGGATACAATGGGTCAGCCACAAACCAAGACTTTGAATGTTGTATACAAAGCCGTCTTTCAAAATGTAAGGAAACAATAAATTTTTTTAAAGTTTAGAGTTTTACTATTTAAATAGTTTATTTAATTATTTATTAAATAACATTTTATTTTACTTATCCTTTTACTTATCCTTTTTCTATTAATGATTGTCCTCATCGTCGAATGGTGTTAATGGTGTTTGTAGAATTAATGATTTTAAAAAAAATACAATTATCAAACTAACCAATTTTATTACTACGAATAATCTTCCAAAATTAAAAGTTTCTAAATACATTAGCATTTTAATATTATAAAAAAAATAAGTACTCAACTTTATGGATCTTGTAAATCCGCGCATCGCGCGGGTCTCCACCTAATTGCAAGTAACAGTTCGTTATGATTTTGTTTATTATCGTAAGAAAAATTGTTCATCGTAGATATGGTGTAGCCGTGTAGAAATATCTGCGATGTGAATTCTAGAGTTTTTTTTCGTAATTGCAAGTGTTAAAGACAGTAGAATATGATCGATTAATCATCATTTCTAAAAAAAAAAATAGATTAATTATCTTGACGATAGTTGAAAAAAAAAAAAAGGAAAAACAAACAATCATGAATCCAAATTTAAACCAAACTTGCCGATCCGATCTATCGGATGGTCTAGTTTTACGGTTCAGTTTTACGGTTTAGTTTTACGGTTTAGTTTTGTTCGGTTTAGTATACTACTAACTAATTCACTATCTTCGTCAGTCAAAAGCACGAAGAAACTTCGAAGAGCCAAATCGCGTTTTGAATTTACATCGGCGGCGAAGAAATGCGATCATTAGAAGAGCTATCTCCGACGGAAAACCTAGAAATCGAGAACGGCCTCGCTCTCGTCGCACGCGTCAAGCTCTGTCTCACAATCCACCCTCTTGTACCTTCCGTATCGAAGCCCATCGACGAATGGCAACTCAAGCGATCTTTAATAGATTTCCTCAAGAAGTCAATCTTCCCCTCCGTGACGGTCCCGGAGGAAGATATCGTTGTTCGGCGTCACAAGGACTTGAAGAAACGGAAGCGTGAAGAGCCAGTCGCTCATGGGTCGCTGTTTATCCGCGATTTAGGGTTTCTGGAAGGTAGGAAGAGGAAGAAGCAGGATGATGACAATGATGGAGAGAGAGATGTGAAGGTTTTGGAGAAGAAGTTTATTGATTGGAGGAAAGTTTTGGTGGAGAAGATGAATGGTATTGAGCTTAATTTGGAAGGAGTGAAGTATAATCTCACTGTTGTGCTTCCGGTTTCTGATGATTTCGAGAGGTTGAAGAAGGATTGGGAGGAATATTACGCTTTTGGTAATCTGGGTTTGTTGATTTGGAACTTGATTTTGATGATTTTGTTGCAAAGTGTTTTAATTTTTGTTGTTGTTGGGTATTTGCTTTTGCAGGACATCCAAGGGAAGGAAGGCGAGAAGCTGATACGATAGTACTGAGGGGTGTGCCATCAAGATGGTTTGCAGAGCCAAGAGTTTCATCGAAACCTTCGATGTTGGTTACTCATACAATCTTCTCCACCTTTGGGAAAATTAAGTAAGTTTTTGTCTCTTTTCATGTCTAATTTGATTGTGTTTGTGCCAAATGTGCTTCACGAATGTGACATATGGGAGCGGAGATTGATCTATGGCTCGCTTCTTGCAATTATCCATTGGTTTCGTGTTGCTTTCGGTAGATGTCATGCATCTACATTTGGACATAGAAGTGTATAGAACAGACATTTTGTATGAACGTTTCTTGGTTAAGTGGAATTGGTGGATAAAAATCGTACCTAACAACTAATTATGGTTTCAGTTTTGATCTCTCTGCTTTAGTTATCTGATAATGGTCATTGTAACCTGTTGTAACATGTGTGCTTGAGTATTCTATTCCTTGGATCCATGTTCCGCTGCTTTAACTCATTCTCTATAGGAATCTTAATGTTGCTGAGGACGATGATCTAGGTAAGGACGCTGATGAGGACAGTGGAGACCTCGCGTCAGGTCTCCATTGTAAGATCGTGGTTCAGTTCGAGAAGTACAATGACTTCGTGAATGCCATGAAGGCTTTCTGTGGTCGCTCAATGCAAAAGGTTAATATCTATACTGCAAAGAAGCATTTTTACTAGAAACAAATGTTTTTTTTGGGAAAATGGGAGATTGTTGAATATTAGTAGCTCTCTCTGTTCTGCTGTTGCGTAAGCGTCTTAAATAACACATGAATTTTATTCATTTGCAAAAATGATTTTGCTGGATGATTTTGCTGAATCCTGAACTAGATTGTATGCAAAACTAGGTTCTGCTGCTGTGTGACCGGCTCTTTAACATAGGCATACCTGTTGAATAGCTTTTGTTTAAAAGTAAGTAGATGGAATTTTGTTTGATTGTTTATGGGGAAAGAATTAGGCAACTTGTAGGCTCTGGAACATGACTAGAAGAATTAGGCAACTTGTAGGCATTGGAACATGACTGATGTATTCTGTTTTTGTTGTCATTTGAACAGGAAGGTACTCGGCTAAAGGCAGACTATGAACTAACATGGGACAAGGTTGGGTTCTTCAGGAACTCAAGGAAGGCGTTGGATCACAGAGATGGAGGATACAAAAACGATGCTATTGGATACAATACAGATGATTTACGCCGAAAGAGATTCAGGGTATGTGTGATTTATGATCTTATAACATAAATTACTGATTCTAGACAAAGATGATTCTGATGTCTTAAAAATTTGTTTATTTGGCAGGAGTAAAACACCGAGATGAGATCTATATGAACTTTGGTGGATTTGTAATAAGATGATCTTTTGAAGATGTCTAAGTTCAGGATCTGATTCTTGTTCTTGTGCCGAATCATTCTTCTTTTATTTATGGTAAAAGAATCAATCGTTTTTTTTTTTTGGGTAAAATTTTCAACATCAGGAGTATTATATTTAGTTTTTAACAAAAGTTACAACTTGAATAAAACAATTCTAGTAGCAAAAATTCTAGAAGCAAACCATATCCATAAGTAATCAGTCATAATTCTCATTGATTAGATAATATCCGATAAATAACAAGAAGAGAATTAAAGTCATTTGAAACCGGACAAAATAATGAGTGAGATAATCGATAAACAACTGTTAACCTCAAAACTCCTTGAGAGGACCGTAATCTATATAAAAAAAAAAAGCTTCCGTTGAAGTAAATTGACAATTGATGTCTACAATGCGTATGACTGTATGAGACAGATTACTTAAAACTATAAAGTCTTTTTCGCTATGATGATGATATTGGACGTTGTTAGACAAAAGAAACCACTTAAAGCATCTCTAATGGTGCTCTATATCTTACTCTAAACTCTATTTTTAGAGTAAAATGAACTGCAATGATACTCTATATGTTGCTCTATAAATAGAGAAATGAACAGTGTTGCTCTATATTTGGAGCAATACTGTTCATGGCTCTATTTTTAGAGCAGAACTTTTTTATTTACAAAACAATCCTTTATTTTTAATATATTTTTATTTTATACCTAAACTATAATATAACTAACAATATTAAACGGAATTCAATTTATACTACTAATAACTTATTAGAACATTATTTTAACTTAAAATTTAATAACAATATATATTAAACAAAGAAATACAATAAGATAACAAATAATAAAATTAGAAATACATAATTAATACTAAAATTTAAAGATAAAAATCAAATACTAAAAAGAAAACTTCACACAATTTATTAGATTAGTAATCTAATACTCTTGTAAGTTGTTTCCACCTCCATGAAAATCACCAAAATATTGCCCGAATGAAATAGATGTAGAAGGAGCTTATTGATCAACCCATTTCTTTTAAAATTCGTCTTTGTTCAGCTTGAACATGTTCACGAATATTTGGATCTTGTATAGAATTTAAGTTCTGAAGTAAAACTTTATTTTCTTCTTTGAGTTCTGATGCTTAAAAAAATGTACTAACACTGATGTTTAAAAAATGTATTAGTTGTTAATTTTTTAATTATGTGATGTAATAAATTTTTATAATAGTTAATGTTAAAAATATGTTTATGTTGAATTATTGTTAAAAATAAAATATATGGAATAAATTTAAATTTTTTAAAAGTAGAGGACCTTATCAGCAATTAATACTAAAGAATAAAATATAATATTTATTTTTAGAGTCAGATATAGAGATGACCATTGGAGTAAACTTCTTCTCTATTTTTAGAGATCTCTATATTTAGAGCTAAAAATATAGTCAACCATTGGAGATGCTCTTAGGAAGGTGGACATAATTTCCATTATTGCGACTTTTCTCTCTCTCTGTTCACTCTCTAAAAATCTTTCACAGAGAGAGAGTGTTTTCTTTTTTTGTATTTCCAATCTAAATCGGATCTATCTTTCCAACTAGTGAATCATGTTCATATATCATCTAGTTGGATTAATAAATTTCCGTTTAACGGATTTGGTTTGTGTAGATCTTCTTAGATCTCATAGAGGTTCAATTATGATTCAACTTCTTCATCTTCTAATTTCATCTGCTCATTTCGGCCGAGAGTTTTATCTCTCTAATTGTCCCCGATAAAGAAGCATTTCATGACAAAGGGAGACAGGTCATGAAGTTTGGTGGAATAGCAGCAACTTTAAGGAGAAGAAGAATCTCTTAGAACCATAGGTCTATGAGAAGATCAAGGTGGAAGCAATCGGAAGGAGATGGAGTGGTACTGAAGACTTGTTCGGAAAATTAGCGTGCCCTTGCGGTGAAGCGCGACGGCAATGATGCTCGACGGCGATGATGTCAGCAACCACTTATCTCGTTTTCAACCTAAAGCTTACACGTGTTTAACACGTGTTATATTGTGGCTTATCATTATCTTTTAGTACTTTGGAAATAATGATGGGCTTGTACTGGATTTCAATAGGCTTCCGATTTCCTTTTGTTGTAATTGCCCAAGCGGGCTTTATCAATATAAGTTTGTTGACGTCAAAAAAAAAGGAAGGTGGACATAATTAGAAACAAAAAAAAATACTTAACGTGGACATAATTAGACAAAAAAAATACTTAGGAATTCACATGTTATTCATTGACATTGTAATTCCTCTCTTGTGAAATCAAGGTGTTTTAACTCGCTCATTATATTTATCTGGTTTTGGCATATTTGAAATATCATAAAGTGATTTCCAATTTTGGATTAAGAGTTTTTGCAACTCAACTAGTGTATATTGTTGAATCTTCTGGTTAGTTAAGTTCCATTGGAAGAAATTCAATTTATGGCGTTTATTTGTTTGTAAGGTCTTCGGATAATATATGCCAGAGATTTTGCCATATTTATGGTGTACTTAATTACAATATGCTAAATATTGTTATAAATCATTCATTTAACTGCAAAGCACTAACCAATCGTGAGACCTCATCTATAGCTCTGTGTCATTCTTTATTTCCATCCAGTAGAGTGTAGACCCGTGGTGTTACAAGTTTTCTTAAAATTTGGGTATATTATCCCTAAATTTGGGTGTGACAAGTTACATCTCGATATATATATGGATCCCCATATTCGTGGTTTTCAATCAATAAATTTAAAATATAAAATTCATATTTTCAATGTCATTTTTAACAGTTTAATCATTTGCAGGATAAAATGGTAGTCGTTCTTCTATAGTGATACCTCCAAAGAAGAAATATAGACCGAGAACACCAAAACTAAAACCGATTCCTACTTTTAATAGACGTGACATTAACACTATTATTACTAACTCTATCTCATTGAATAAATCTATCTTAATATCAAGTTTTTAAAACATTAATTATTCAATTATGCAGGTTTACTTTCGAAAAGCCAGCAATATGCACAAGAAGATACCATGTTTAACCAAACTGGAGATGATATTACCTTGAAAAGAAAACGTTCTCAAATGGCCAGGAAAACAAGGATGGAAATTTTGCGATCAAAAAGAGCACGTCATAATCATCAAAACACAAGTTAGTCTTTATCTACCTCGAAATATAATTTTGTATAAATTTCCCCTCTGTGTCTGACATATTATATTGAAATATTTAAGCAGATCTCTTACCCAAACCAGACGGAATAGATGATTTTATCTGTTTTGTTACAACTGATGAGTCCGAAAATGAAGACACTCATCACAAAGAAAAATTATCTAAATCACAAGATACAACTGATAAAGTTATAAATAACCAACAATTTTTAAGAATCGAGTGTTCCGATTTTGCTGATATTGGATTGGCTACCAATGGTAACTTTTTTTAAAATCTATACTATTTCAAAACCATATATTCGAATAAACGAGTTACTAATATATTTTATAATCAATCTACATAAGTTATTATGATGAAGGTGATCAAGCTTATATGTGTAGTCATTGCAATGCATACATGTGGTTTGGAGAAAGAATCAATAAAAATAATATTAATATTATATTTAATAAATATATGTTTAAATTATATATTAATATTATATTTAATAATTAATAATTAAAATTAAAAATAATAAATTAATTTTCATTAAAAAATAATATAAATATTAGAAATATATGTTTAAAATGTTTAAAATGTTTTTATGTCATGTTTTATTCAAAAAATAAACTTTACTTACAATAAAATCAAATTATTAATTTTTTTAAGAACTCCTAAGACTATGTACATTGGTTCATTTTATCTACACCCTTATACTCCACATCATCTTCTCTCTCTTCCACCTAATATTTCAACACCCTTTCCTTTACAATGATTTTGTTTAATAAAATTCAACACTTTACTCCATTATTTTTATTTAAATAGTTTTTAATTTTTTTATGTTTTTGTTTTTGCAAATACATATTACTAACTAAAATTAAATTAAAATAATAGGATTTTAATAATTTTAGTAATAATCGTTTTATTATTTGTTTTTTTTAATAATGTTTTGCTTGTAATAAAATAAAAATAACGATAATCATTATAAAAATAATTTTTTTTCAAAAAAAAAACTCAAAATGAAATAAAATACATTAAACAAACACACATAACCAATAAAATACATATAGCTTAACTCACAAACAATAAACAAAAAAAACTCAAAATAAAATGCAATACATTAAACTACATTAAACAAACACACAACATAACCAATAATATACATATAGCTTAACTCACAAACAATAAACTCAACACACACAATAAAGCTCTAAACAAGAGTTTTATCAAAGGCTAAATAGACAATTATAGTAAAAAGATAGATTTGTTTTGGTGTCCGAATCAAATGAACAAAGTTTGTATTTATAGAGAAAAAAGAATAATGAATTTTGGTATAAAAAAATATATATATATATAATATGAAATAATTGAGTTTACATTATTTAGGATGAGAGAAATATCTTAGATATCTCATCAACCAATTACAAACTACTATCCTTTCCCAATCTACAACTCAGTGTCTGAATTTTTTTATTTATTTATTCTGTTAATTTTCAACCAATTAAAATTCAACACCTGGCTTTTGAGGGACTTATTTTTTGAGTTTCAACATGTTGTAAATTATCAACACAGTTTTTACCAACACGATTTCAACAACTTCATTGCATCTATTCAACAATTGATAGTTATTTATCTATACCTTCATTGTACATAGCCTAATAGGATTACACAATTGAAGCAAAGAAAACAAATGTTTCTTAACAAGGGTTTTTAACATAAATTTTATAATTAAATATTAATTAAAAATCCCATAAAGATTCTTGCATTGAACATGCTCTTAATATAATATGTTCTTAAGACCATCATTAACAGGATCTTTTAATGGGTCTCTTCAAATTTTTTAATCGTGAAAATTGAGAAAGTTGTGTTTAAATTGTAGAAACGTTTCTTATCTGGCGACGGAGAGAGACGTCTCTTAGACCAGGTGTCACGCGTTTAG